GAATTTAGAGATGGATGCTTTCTTTCTGACATTACTCTTAAGTTCAATGGTTTATTTATCAGGTGCTGGCTCATCTGTTGGACATGGTGTTCTACAGTGACGAGAAGGAGAGGGTGATCCCACTGCTGGTTAATATCATGCACTACGTAGTGCCCTACCTCCGCAACCACAGGTGGGGATAAGCATCTAATTTCTTATAATTTTTTTTCAAACTTTAGGGTCTTAAAGATTTTTCCTGAAATTGAACATCTTAAATTTCAATCACATGAAGGTGAGACACATGACATGTAAACATTTTCATGTTGGGGAGTGAAGATCAAGTGCAATGAGCTGCCAGTTGTGAAAACAACTTATAGCTGGTCATATTGCAAGATTGATATGCTTCCTGTTTCTCTTGGCAGTGCTCACAACGCCCCCAGTTACAGGGCCTGCATCCAACTGTTAAGCAGCCTGAGCGGGTACCAGTACACCCGCCGTGCCTGGAAGAAGGAGGCCTTTGACCTCTTCATGGACCACACCTTCTTCCAGATGGACTCCTCCTGCGTCAGCCAGTGAGTAGGAGTAGTGGTGTGTGGGAGAGACTCGTGGTTTGAACATGTGGCCTAAGTGACACAAAGAGAGGAGGGAAAAACTTTATCAACACTTTACATACATACATTTAAGAAAGTACGATGTTCAGTTGATTTTTGAGACAGCTTGAGTATTACACTCTGTTGTAAAAAAAACAAAAATGTTTTTGACCTATTTATCAACTACATTTGATTTGGTGAGAAGTCATTTTCTAATTTAAACATTCAAATAGTAATACATGTGTAAGTGAAACACTGAAGACTAACATGTGGACACATTGTAATATTACATACAGAATGTGCACAGGTGAAGAAGAACGTGTCTTCAGACAGTTTTCAGAGACAAACAGTATAACAACATGTCCATTCATGTTCTGTTATAAAACACTTAAAAAAAGGAAAAAATGAACTGCTTTTAAAATTCCAATGTAAATGCATTGAACCTATATTGTCTTGTCTATATTTTCTTCAAACATCATTTTGGTTTGGGAGATTTGAATGCCGGATGTAAGGAGGCAGTCTTTCTTTGTATGTTGAATGTTAATACTTTCCTCTTTTTCAGCTGGAGAGCCATCATTGACCACTTGATGACTCATGACAAGACCACATTTAGAGACCTCATGAGTAAGCTTCACAATTAATTCTCAATTATGAATAAGTGTAGATGTTGCCACTGGGTGTGTTTACAGACGGTTAACCTGATCTTGGTCTGCAGTGATTTACACTTATCATATCTCGCCTAAGGTCGTAAAGAATCAGAATCCTGCAAATTAACTTAACCAAAATAAGCCTTAACATTTCAACTTCAATTCAGTCCATAGTTTATACAAGTTAAAAACATACTGTAGTTTGAAAGGTTTAGTCAACTCAATGTTATTCATATCATAGAACACCTTCTATAGTTAGACTTTCAGTTCAGGAAGGAATAGCTCTCTTAAATCACAGCTTTCATTAAAGCTTGTTGTCAATTTGACAACTGGCAAAGACAACAAACATTGTTTTTGTGTTCCTCCCTTCAGCTCGGGTGGCTGTAGCTCAGAGCAGCTCTCTGAGTCTCTTCACTAACAGAGATGCTGAGCTGGAGCAGAGAGCCATGCTACTCAAACGGCTGGCTTTCACCATCTACAGCAGTGAAGTGGACCAGTACCAGAAATACCTCCCGGACATACAAGGTAAGCAATACATACATATACTGGACATGTACCAGTGTTTTACATACAATGTATAACACAGCAGAAGCACCCTCACGCTGAGGGAACATTTTATACAAACTCTCTGCTTTGCTTTGTGCCCTTCCCATATATGAGGCCCATAAAGATTACTAAACAACATTGTTTTAATTTTAGTGAATTTGAAGGTTTGTGAGATGAACTGAAAACAAACATGTAGTGACTGCCACATTAAGACTGACCTTATCTCAGTTCAGCCTCTGTAGGTTTATCTTCACTGAGCAGATGGTTGAAAGATGTCTTTGTTTTCAGAGCGTTTGGTGGAGAGCCTGCGTCTACCTCAGGTGCCCATCCTCCATGCTCAGGTTTTCCTGTTCTTCAGAGTGCTGCTGCTCCGCATGTCTCCTCAGCACCTCACCTCACTATGGCCCACTATGATCACTGAACTGGTAAGAGCTAGACCTCACTGACTACCCTCTTTGTCTCACATTCTGTACCCTCACAGGTCTTTCTTAACTCTTTTACATATGAGACAGTTTGACACATAAACTAACTCATGCTCAATCACACATTGTACATCTGTTTTCCTGCAGGTCCAGGTGTTTCTTCTGATGGAGCAGGAGCTGACAGCTGATGAAGACATATCAAAGTACATTTTCTGTTGATGTTACTAACTGGATTGCAGCAGCATAGAAACATCACAAGTTACTTTTTTCAATGATGAATCATCCTCTTACTCCATTATAGGACATCAGGCCCGTCTGTGGCTGGTTTGGAGACCACCTACTCTGGTGGAAACGGCTTCTCCACCTCATACAACAGCCAGCGCTGGCTTAACCTCTATCTGTCTGCCTGCAAGCTCCTGGACCTGGCCCTCGCCCTTCCTCCTGAGAGCCTGCCTCAGTTTCAGATGTCAGTACAAAAAAATCCGGAGTAATAAAAGTCTTGTCACATAAGTGGGTTAGGGAATCATTAACATTAACATCAAATTAACATTTGTTGAAATTTCCAAATTTTCTGTGCATACCTGTCAGTATTTTGAATGACTGAATACAGCAGGGATCATTTGCAATGCCAATGTTAAATGGAAGAAATGTCAAATTTCAATGTGTGACGTGAATATGAATGAACCTTTGATTGAGATATTTGTATTTCTATCTGCAAAAACTCTGACACCTTGTTAAAAGGTTACAAATTGTGTAATTTCTGATTGAATCCTTCCTCATTTTCAGGTACCGCTGGGCTTTCATCCCAGAAGCGTCAGACGATTCAGGATTGGAAGTGAGACGTCAGGGGACTCACCAGAGAGAATTTAAACCCTATGTGGTCCGACTGGCCAAGCTGCTGAGGAAACGAGCTAAGGTATCTCTCCTCCCTCTGTTTGCACGAGGTTATTAAATGATGGAGACAAATGACTTGTTTCTCTCTAAAGAGTGGGTTGCGCTTAGTCCATTTCATTCTGTCTGCTCCCTCACCTGAAGGAAGGCAAATTAATTTATCTACTTGAGTAATTAATTATCCGTTTCCCTCTCCCTTAGAAAAATCCAGAGGAGGACTGCTCCACTCGAACCCTGTCCTGGGAGCCAGGTCACCTTATGCTGACCCTCTACGTGATCCGCAGCATGGAGCAGCTGCTCCCTTTCTTTAACCTGCTCAGTCAGGTGTTCAACAGCAAGGCCAGCAGCCGCTCAGGCCCCACCTACTCAAACAACCCTGCAGACGCCTCCTTCCCTGGCCACAAGGAAGGACACAAACTGGAGAGCCAGAAAGTGTTCTGGAGCCGAGCTCGACAGAACATCGAGGAGATGGTAGAAAAAGACTTTCTAGAGGGTCTTATCAAGACGTGAGACCACAGAAGGGGGAGGGAGAATTAACCCACAACTGATCAACACTAGTGACAAACCTCAACTTTACATTAAAAAAACAATGGAACACAAATAGGGAAAGAAGTTTGTACATGTTTTGTATTTATAATAATTTTACTTTTCAGAAGCTATTGTATTTAATTTTAATTATTTGTATATACGGAGCAGCTTTGATGACTGACTTTTAACATTTCATGTAAGTCCTTCTGGACAAAGTGAAGATGCTGTGCCATTCCATATCCATGTGACTTAATAAAGATTTTTAATGGGAGGGTTACATGCACTTTAAAATGTCTTTACACAACACTTTGTTTCTGAGCCAATCACAGTGCCAGCCCTCTGATTGAGCCTCACGTGTCTGTTTATGTCCTTGAGTTGAAATTACAGGAAGCAAAAATGGACTTCAGGCCGACCTAATTTATAGACTCTAGACTGTAACAAACTCACCAACGACAATGTTTTTCATATGGAGATTAAAGGGATTGTGTGTGGATATAGAACGATGTACTAACAGACAATAAGAATGGTAAAATAGGCTGTGTTCTCAGCAGACATTATTACTCACTATCATTGTGTCTAAGTAAGATGTGACAATGAGCTAGCATGCGGCACATCAGAACCCATAGTGTGACTGTGACTAGCATCTCAATGATGCTATACAGTACTCTGTAGGGTATAGCATCATACCCTTATTAGATAGTTACTCTTCTAAAACATAGCTTCATAGTTGTTATATATATATATATATAGTTATATACCTGGTACACTTCAAAGAATCTCACTCTATTCATACAGTCGTGCATCACCTCAACATATATTCAATGCAGTTTAAAAGCACAGGAAACTACAGCCTCCAAAATGGTCATTTAGTTGAATCAACCCAAATGAAATAGTTAAAAGTTGACCAGTCTAACCCGCGATAAGGGGAAGGGGGGGGCTTTAATGTGTAATAGAATAATATGATCTTGTGTTGTTGAATATGTTACATATAGGGATATGAAACTTCCACTACTGGCAAACTAGTGAATAACTGGCTAATGGCAAACAGGAGAGCAGATCAGTACCATGACAGGGTCAAAACCAAAAGTCCACCATCACGTGGCCTACTTCAGCTTTACAGAATTTCTGCATCACTGATCAGAGAACATGATAACTGAGGCAGCATGCTTCATATGACCTTCATAGTATGATAGCTGCATGCCATGAAACAAGCTTGGCTGTAGAGAAGCTCTATTAACCCTGTAGTGATTCACATCCACAACCTCCATCTGAGCTCTCGTCTCCTCCCAGATCTCGCGATGGAAGAGGAAGCAGCAGGGTTGGTAATAGGCTACTGCGTCACCTGACTCAGAGGAGGGGGCGGGGTTCCGTGTGTAATATAAATATTTTAATTATTAATTAAAAAAAAAGGGGATGTAAATCCATCGCCATCGTGGGACCTGCGTTGAAGAGAAAATCTCCGGGTGTTGCAGGCTGACGTGAGGCCGCTGTATCGAGAAGGAGTCCAGCAGGGAAGGAGGAGGGACGAAGCACCGCTGTACTGGATGGTGGGGGATGATGTTCCCCTGCACGACCCGCTGACACACAGGGACCGTCGGACTGCTGCTGGTGCTGAGGATTATCCGTGAGGCAGGAGGAAGGAAGACAGGGAGGGGGGGGAGGCAGCAGCGAGCATCATCCAGAAGGGACCGTTTTATAGTGAAGGCTCGCCGACAGAAACGCGGAACAGTAAGAAACTGAAGGGAAATAAAAGGAAAAGAGTTGAATTTAAATCTGTGGGAGGGGTTTACAGTCAGCTATTTTCGTATGCTTAGAATAGTGACTGTTATTTCCAAAGGATACTGGTCCTTAGGGAGGAAAGTCAGTTCTTGATTGTTCCAGAAACGCATGCACATCCAACACAGCTGACTGGGAAACGCTCAGTTCCTGCGTTATTATGCAACTAAATCTCATTGTGTAGAAAGTGTAGGCCTACTACTACTTGTTTTTTCGTGCTGAGTTTTTTGTGGAGCATTTGAGGCCAGCTGGGATTACTGAGGCTGGTCTTTCATTTTGGTGTTGGTGTGGGGTAGGACCGTTTTGGACGCTTGATAGTCGAGGGTGAAGTCCACGGAGAGAAGATGTCGGGTCAGACGCTGACAGACCGCATCGCCGCGGCGCAGTACAGCCTGACGGGATCCGAGGTGTCCCGAGCTGTGTGTAAAGCCACCACACATGAGCAGACAGCTCCGAAGAAGAAGCACATGGAATGTAAGTTATAAAGCCTATACATATATCCATATCATCTTATTCATTACTCTCTCTCCTATCCTACCAAAATGTGTCCTTTCGACCCTCCATCCTCATCCTCATCACGCACAACTAGGCCACGCACCACAGCCATGATGGTGCCTCCCCCATCTTTTCCTCCAATGCGCGTTCATTTGCTTGAAGGGGCTTCTCGTGCAGCCCCACTGTGCAGCACATGTTTGTACACACATGCATTGCTTTAGGACATCCACTGCTTTCATTTCGACTTCAATTAGATAAAACCAAACCTGTATGGCTGCCTTACAGGAAGGCTTCTATCTCATTGTATGAATCAGAGGGAAGCCTTAAAAACATTAGAAAATACTTAGAAGATACAACCATACTGACTGGAGACTGTCTGTCTGTCCCATGATGCTTTAGTGCAGGTGAATACATTATTTAAAAGGTTCAAAGAGATGTTGCCAAAGACACAGGCCTCTTGTGCCCTTTGTAGTGCACCGAGGTGTTTGGCACTGTCACAACGCAGCCTCACTGACTTTTCTCTTGGTGCAATTTCTTGATTTGTTGGCACATCGCTCATAACAAACTAGGTGGGGTAAAGACGTAGGTACTGTAGTGTGCCAATTCACTTTCAAATGTTTAAAGGAACTGGCTCATAAAGAACCAGGAAAGCAAACATTAATCCAAGATACAAAGCATCTATGCAGACTTAGTTGCATGCAGGTGGAATTTGTTTTGTCAGCATTATCCCCAGTCAACAACAAAAGATACGTTTTTTCCCCCTAAATGTAAAAAGAATGATGTTCAGAGTCACAGACCATATGGCAATGGACACAAGGAAGTGGGTGTTCAGCAGTGTAAAAACAAACTAAAGGCACCTCCTCAGTGTCCGAATGCCACATCTCATCAAATCTTGAAATGTTTTTGTGTATATCAGGATATGCTCCAGGATTTATATTTTCTCCCCCATTTAACCTCACCAGCCCTATCACTTCATTTGGTTTGATTCATGTCTTCTAGGATTAAAACCCCTTCAAAGACCTTTGGTTATCATTTTGTGAAAATCCAGCCAAAGGAGGCAATGAATAGCCATCAACGTTTGAAAGTCCTTTGCTATCACATCCTTTTTTGCACTGAGTGGGGTTTATTCTTACACTTGCAATAAAGCTGAACATCTGTGTATAATTTAACCAGCCACTAATGCTCAATTTTAGTATGAAATTAACTGAATCACGGCCCTTGTGATAAAATATCAGCCTAAAAACAAACCTCATTATCAAAGAAACGTGTTCTCACAATGACAATGAAACAGAACGTCTGCAGAGATTTATTGCCTACTCCAGCTCCTAGACTATAAGTACAGATGAATTGTTAAAATAATTAAGCGCAGGTCTACAAATAATTAGTTTGGATATCTTTTTAAGTAAGTAATCAAATATATTTGGCAGATTTTTTTGGGATCTTATAAACTACATGTTACACAATAGAAATCAACATTTTCACCATTTCTTTAATTTAAAATCTGAAGAAATGGCAGCGAGGTCAAATTGGCAAAACAAAACCTGCTTGGGGGAAAATCAATCCACATATCTGTTTTGTGTCCAGACAAAGAATTTAACTGAATTATGAACTGATTTAAATCAAAGCACAACAAAATGGAAAGCCTTCCCACGTGCCAGCATTTGAGTCAGCTCTTTGCTGTTGTGGTGAGATTAGAGGAAGCACCGCCCTCCACACAACACTTTCTCATATCTCACAAGTAGTGGCTCAAATAACTGAGTGTGAGAATAGAAACTATTTGATTTCACTATACAATTGTGCCAATCTTGAATTCAAGGTATGTCCTATCAATGTGTACATCCATTCTGTTTCCATGGGTTTTACTAATAATGGACATTTTTTGATCATTTGGAAGAAGTCGTTCACACATAGTGTAACCTTTTGTCAACTTAAAGCTAGAATAAAACACCTCAAAGAAATGATGAATCTATTAGCAAAAAGAAATCACACTGCTTCTCAATAAGTCCCTTTCCTGCTCTGGTGTGACCAGCAGTCTGGCTCTGCCTGCTTAAAGGAAGTCTTTCTTTCCACTGTTGCAAAGTGCTTGCTCATGGTGGTCTTGTGTTGAACACATGACAGACTACAGTCTACACCTGCTCTCTCTTCAAGTGTCCTGACATCATTTTGTCATAATTTGTAAAAAATTAATGATAATATAAAAAAAGATTGATGATCAAGCTAAGGGTGGTTAATGCTTGCTAAAGTTAGCATTGTCTCATTACTGAGATTAAGATTAAGAGAAAGATTTACTTTTATTGATCCCAGCAAGGGGAAATTTGTTTGATTATTTGTCATATCATCCTACTTTATGAGCCTGGCTTTTAGCCACAGTGGCTTCAGTTCAGCAGATATGTTGAAGTCTTCTTGATTGATAAGGTGTTATAATTTAAAGAGTTTAAAACACTGACTTAACCCTCTAGTTTGACCTTTTATCATCTTTTCACCTCAGTTACTATACAGACAACTTGAAGACTTCAATATTCTATATTTGGTTTACATTTTGAGTTTCATGCTAAAACAGACTCATTTAAAGGAGTAGTTTGTTTCATTTATCTGTTTGGTAAACTAAAAAAACATCTGACCCCCAATAAAAAAAATGATCTTCCACATCACTAAAACCTGTTTCACTAGATCAACTTGAGAATCCTTTACCGCTGTATTGTCCCTGCTGACATAAAGGATCAAGACCCCCCACCTTAATGCATGCATTGCATCATCAATTAAAGACATCACGCTATCCCTAACTATGTTTTATTTGGAATCTCTCTCATGAGGCACTGTCCATTTGATGAAACTTCTTTATAAGAAATGACAATTCAATTCTTCAATTTAACCACTGATTACTAATCTGTAACATATACCTCCGATTACATTATGAAGAAAAACTAACACTGGGTTTGCAGTTTGCAGTTTGCAGTAGTGTGATAAGTTTTAGCCATACATGTTTTGCTGTCTTTGGCTGCTGGAAATGATGACTCTTTTAACAATCATTCACATCATTTAACCCCACCAACCTTAGGCTAAGATGCTAAAGAGATTCTCTTCTCTTCTTGCATTTTGATTTATTTCTGAAGTTATTTTCCATGACAGTAATGGAACAATAATTGGACATACAGGAAACATACATGAAGATGGCTGGATCCCATTAGATGCATTATCATTGTCAGACATCTAGGCAGATCTTAACAGATATCTGCTAAGGTACTGAAAATATTCTCTAATGACTTGTTCCTGTTACAGCTAACTGTTGGTTTATTGTTCCGCTGATCCATTTCCAGTGACATTCAGAGAGCAGCAGGGCAGTGAGCTTCTCTTGCTGTGACCCCAGAGCCTCAGACAGAGAAAGAGAAAAAAAAATCAGAGCTTTGAAACCAAATGATCCCAATATATACACACCCGACAGAAACGTGATCGAAAAGAAAAGCATGTACAGATGGGTTGGATTTTACAATGTTCGTTGTTTTTTGATTTTTTTTAACAGTTCTGCAGGAAGCATTTAAGTTTGAAAAATACCTCAAAATGAAAACCTAACTGTGAAGAAGTCAGAGGCTGTTCAGACAGCAGACAAACAAATGTTTATTGTCTTTAGGGACACACTGACTGTAATGGTAAGATAAAGCGAAACAAAACAGGTTGCCCCAATAACGGCAAATAAAACTGTTAAGATAATTAGATTGAAATGCACACACATTGTCACTGGTTCAAGTCCCGGCACAGACCAAGTCCAGAAATTGGCCTGGTAGCTGGAGAGGTGCCAGTCCACTTCCTGAGCACTGCCGAGGTGCCCTTGAGCAAGCACTAACCCCCCACCAGCTCAGGAGCACCCACTGTGGGCAGCCCCCTCACTCTGAGACCTCTCCATTAGTGTGTGTCCATAGGATCCTGTTTGTGCATGTGTGTGTATTTCAGCCTATGTTTGTGTAGCATGTTAACTAGACAGAGTGTAAAAACAAATTTCCCCTCGTGGGATCAATAAAGTATACATTATTATTATTATTATTATTATTATTTACAATTTATTTTAAGACCTCGGCTGACTTCTGAAGTCCTCTACACTCTTTAAGGATTCGAGCTCAGGAGCAGCACAGACTGCCTCACACAACACATGCTGTAGTGTTTTGTTACAGAAGCTGCTTGATATTTCACAGATGAACTGAGTGTATGTGTGTGTATGTTAGTGTTTGCATGTACACACTACTTCACATAGTAACACAGTTGCACAAGTACATGCATGGTAAAAAAAAAGAACTGGAGTAAGTATCCAAATTCAAAACGTCTTTTTTTCGAGCTAATAGCAGGGTGGTGCAGAGGAGGAGGTGCAGCTGTGTGTCAACTATCTGCATGGGGCAGACGTTTTAAAAGCATCAGGATAATTACTCCAACTCAACCTGGTGTCTAACAGGCCCTTCTATTTTTGTTATATAGGAAAAGCAAAAGTGCTTAAACTATACCTCCTGTGGTTTTTTTGATATCTAGCAGTGCAATGTTTTTAAGGTGCTCCCCGTTTGTTTGTATTGTGCTAATGCTCTGACACATAGCTGTTGGCATGAATGTGCATACATAGCTTTTAAAGTTCCTTGCTGGAGGTTTTAGCTAGTCATGATACAGACATACATTCAAAGTAATGCCCCTGTGTGACCAACAAAAGCAACAATTAGTACCGGTAGTTATATTTATTAACGCTTGTTACTGCTGCAGGGTTGATGTTTGATGATGCAATTACAGCAACGCAGGCTGCTCAAACTATATGTGTTTACATTTTTCACAGAAAAGATTCACAGTATGTTTGACTGTTGAAAGACATTATGATGCAAATGATTGTCAGAAAACACTGCTAATTCATATACAGGACAAATATCCACAGGGGTTGCTAAAATCAGCACAATTGAAAAGTTCAATGCAGTAGCTTTATACATTTAGAAAGGTATACGAGGAAGAAA